TCAATTGTGTTTATCGTGATTATAAAAGTTATTAAAGTTATTTTCTCATCTAAAAGTATAAACCTAAGGTTGATTGTGATAAGACTTATTCCACAGTAACTTAGTAGTTTCTCACACGTTACTCCCTGTCATTAAGTCATAGTTACCCTAAATTTGACAGGCTGAGTATAAAGTTAACAGCGTGTGAAAAAAAGGATGTATAAATCAAAAAAAAAGAAGTATGTGTAACAAATATTTTTATGAAATAAACAATCTTTTTTAAAATTAGATAAAACAAAAGCTTTATATAGAAATTTTATAGAATATCTAAATTGTTTTATAAAAGTAGATCTATTCTTTTTTAATTAGCTATTTAAAGTATACGTAAATTTTACGCTAAAATTAAAGAAATATTTATAATATCATTCTTGAATCAAAAAAGTGAAATTTATCTATTTCTTTTATAATCTAAGTCAAAATCAAAGCCTAAGAAGGCGTCTCCTAAAGAAAAGAAGCAAAAGAAATGATAATAGCATTCCAAAGATAAAGAAGAAACAAAAACAATTCTCTACACCACTTACCTTCATAGTCCAAGCCAAAATTTGGATTCAAAAAAGCATCCCCTAAAGAAAAGCAAAAGAAACATTAATGGCATTCTAAAGATAAAGAAACAAAAACAATCCACACCTTCATAATTCAAGCAGAAATCTAGATCTAGAAAGGCGTTTCTTAAAGAAAAGAAGTAAAAGGAACGTTAATAGTATTCTAAAGACAAAGAAGAAATAAAAACAATTCCTCACACTACTTACCTTCATAACCCAAGCTGAAATCCAAGTCCAAGAAGGCATCTCCTAAAGAAAAGAAGCAAAAGAAATGTTAATAGCGTTTCAAAAACAAAGAAAAACAAAAAAAAATCACAAGAAAAGAAGCAAAAAAGAACATTAATGATATTTCAAAGATAAAGAAGAAATAAAAATAATTCCTCACACTACTTACCTTATAGTTTAAGCTGAAATTCAGGTTAGGAAGACATCCTCTAAAGAAAAGAAGTAAAAGAAACATTAATAGCATTTTAAAAATAAAGAAAAATAAAATAAAACCACAAGAAAAGAAGCAAAAAAAACGTTAATGGCATTCCAAAGATAAAGAAACAAAAACAATTTACATCACCTTACTTTTATAATTTAAGCTGAAATCCAAGTCCAGGAAGGTGTCTCTAAAGAAAAAAAGCAAAAGGAACATTAATAGCGTTCTAAGATAAAGAAAAACAAAAAATCCTATAAGAAAAGCAGAAAAAACGTTAATAGCGTTTCAAAGATAAAAAAAAACAAAAACAATTCTCTACACTACTTACTTTTATAGTCCAAGCTAAAATTTAGATCTAGAAAGGCATTCTCTAAAGAAAAACGCAAAAAGAATATTATTAGTATTTCAAAGACAAAAAAGAATCCCACATCACCTTATCTTTATAGCCCAAACTGAAATTCAGGTCCAAGAAGGCGTCCCCTAAAGAAAGAAGTAAAAGGAACGTTAATGTGTTCTAAAGACAAAGAAAATTAAAACAATCTCCTACATCACTTTACCTTCATAGCCCAAGCAGAAATCCAGTCCAGAAAGGCATTCCCTAAAGAAAAGAAGTAAAAGGAATGTTAATGACGTTCCTAATGATAGAAAAAGTAAAAACACTAACTTACCTTTATAGCCCAGCTGAAATCCAGGTCCAAAAAGGCATTTCCTAAAGAAAAGAAGTAAAATAAAAGTTAATAATGTTTCCAAGACAAAAAAAGGAAGAATTTTGCACCTACCGTTTGAATTCAAGCCGTTCAAGTCAAAATTTGGAGTAAAAGATCTAAAAGAAGAGAGGGAGAGAGAAGAGAGATCAATCAGATAGTTTTCTGAATAAGTCTTGAAACTAGACTTATAACTCTACAGTTTAATAAAGTCATTATTTTACACTTTCAATCTTCTTCTTATCTTTAACATAGGATTGATCGTGATAACTTACTATATAAGTGAATTATGATAATAAATTATTTCATTTATTAATTATTAATTTCTCTTAAGAAAGGCCTTTGAGATAATTGTGTTATTAAGTTTGTTTAGGTTTATTAGCTTAATTTTGGATGATTCTAGATCTAACACTGGAATGTAATTTTGAACAGAGCATTATTTTTCATATTTTTTGTTATATTATTTATTTATTCATAATTACAATTAGATAAATTATATAATCAGCTAATGTTTTAAAAAGTTATAATTTCAAGGGAAGTTATATTGTAATCTAACTAATGACATACTATTATAAGCCTTTTTATTTAAAAGTTATCTAATTTTGTTTTGATGTAAATTATAAAATTCTACTAAGAATTTTACTTAAAAAATTTCAAATCAATACCTGCATTTTTTGTTTTTTTTTAAAAAAAAAATAAAATAAAGAAATTATCCACTTTAAAGCCTTCTCTAAATTTCTTATTTAAAAAAAATTGACAAAAATTTCATTACCAAAATTTGTTAATTTTAAAGCATATATTAATAAAAAATTTGCTGTTATTAATATTTCTACTAATACAGTCAAAACTTGATCAAAAATGATTAGGTAAAAAAATAAATAATCCTGATTTAATATATTATTAGACATATCATGTGATAATATTTAAAGACATTTCAAAGAAATTAATTAATATTCTCCAGCTCTTATTGGGTATTCTGATTTATTTTCATATATTATTTAAAATCAATAAATCAATAAACTTTATTTGTAAATAATTGGAGGTGGAGGATTAATAGTTTAAGAAATATTTTATATCACAAATAATTTTCATTAATTAGGATTATTTTCTTTTATATTAAGGAAAATGCTTTGGGATAATGATAAAAAAAAATTTTTTTTTGATAACAATTCGAAAGTATTCTCTTAAACAAGACATATTACATTGAAGAAAGTATAACTTTCTCTTTGCAATCCTTTTGAACCTGTAAAATTTTATAAAAGAAATTAAGTTAGAAGAAAGTATTGAAAGAACTAACTTAACAATAAAAATAAAAACCACTTAATATTTATAATGGGAATTAAGCTTCCTAAAGAAAGATATGTGAAAAAAACTTTCATCTGTAAGGCAAACACTTCAAAGAGAAGATAGATAGACAAATCCTAGAAAGCATCCCATATACAAGTATTAAACTATCACTCTTAGCTTAATACCATCAGAAATGCTTCTCCTTTTAAGCTAAAACCTTTTACTGGCCACTTCATTAAATAATAAGCAGTTTATGAAAGGATGTGAAACATGACCAGACAGACAAAAATTTAAGGGAATTGAAGATTATACTATGGCTCTTTAGTACTCGCCTAAACATCATTAAAGAAGAAATAATAAATAAAAGTAAATAAAAAATACTTTCATAAATGTTTATAAATTACATGTATCTGCATTAAAATACCTAGAAGTGAAAATTTGAACATTAAGGATCCAACTATCTGTCATATTAGAATGATAAAAGAAAAAATTGATAGAATTAAAATCTTAGTATTTTTCGAATGAGTAAGAAAATTGTACTTAAGCAGTTGGAATTCAGATTTTGAGAGTTAATGGATTAAAAGAACAACCTCTTAAAGATAATTTCTTATCAATACGTAATAGCATTGGGATATAAAATGAATTTTCTGGGTATATCAAACCTGTAGGTTAAGCAATATTTCGTGAATATTGATTGATGAACTTGTAACCAAAATGGAAAACACTAATAATACAACAAATTTCTCATCAATAGTGTTTGAAAAGTTTTAGTAAAGATAGAAAGTTGTTTATTATTAGAAAACTTTTTAGATATGGGAGGAGAGTACGTGAAGCAAAAATTTAAATTCTTTGCTGTTTCTTTTATAATAGAAATATGCTGCTGTAAGTTCTGTTAATTAATATATTTTTGGTTAACCCATATAGCAATTATTAAAATAACCACCTTATGGTCTTTTGTTAGTAATTCATCAATAGAGAGGTTCAGGAAAATTAAATGTCACAGTAAAATAGCATATGAATATTTGATTGTAAAGAGAAAAGAAAAACAAAGAGGTCATTGTTTTGAATGAGCTTTTTTTTTTTTTTTTTACGAAATTAGTTAAATATATACTTATTAGGAAATTTTTTTTTTTTTTAAAAAGTTTAAAACCTTGATCAGGGTTAATGTTTGAACATCCTTATAATTGCCAAATTAAGATGCATGAATTTTTAGACTGTATATTTTTACAATAGTGACGTATTTTTTTTTTATTTAGATTTACAGTACAATAATATAAGATTTATGTGATAGATAATAATTGTCAAATATATCAGAATCAAAATCAATTTGCCAAAAATTAAAAAAATCGAATTAAATATGATCCGTAACTTGATTATAATAGAAAACCCATATTATGATTAAATTTACAAACAAATTTGTATATCTCATTTCGAGAGGAAACATGTATAAAAACAATTTATAATGCTTGAATAGACGTCGCACTTCTCTCAGTTCAACGTAAGAAAGAAACAACGATTAGTTAACGATGATTTAGTAAGGATTTCCTTTTACAAGCATCTATGTGATTCCTTAACATCAAAATAAGGATGTGAGTTATTATGTTCATTAATTATAAATAATAATTTACCAAATAATTTATAACTAAACCTGAACTAATTTAAACGTTATCGCGAGGAAACAGATATTGAAACCAGAATAAATTCACTGAATTGATCTTCTTAAATCCTTAGTAGGAATTCAGTCCGTAAATTCGTAGTATTTATCTACATACTAAGTGAGCTTTGGTATCTCATTCTGTTTTGCGGCTTGTATGGATCATGCGAGTCAATCAATTTACACACATACAATACTTACTCGTTTTTTTTAATGATTAGTGAAAATTTTGTTGAAACAAGATCATATTTCTCCGGTATATCGAATAATAGAACTAATAGTGGTGGTATTGCTCACTCGCATAACATTTTATCAATTTATGGTATTCACCCAAAAATTTTAACTTGGATTTAAAGTGATTGTAGAACCAACCTCTGAAAGTCCGAAACTTTACTGGGATTACCCAAATGTAATAAATTCAATGATGCGCAAGATGGAATATTTTGCGGTTCAATTGAAATTGAATTGTATACATGAGACAAGGATGTAAATGGAAAAATATCTTTCACCTGAACCGTTAAGTAAGTGGACAGAGAATTGATGTATAAAACCACCTTTGCTTTTTCACAAAATAAATATGCAATTTGAGAGGAAAATGACCTAGTTTCAGAAGTTTCGTTGTCTCTATATAAAGGATTTCGAGTAATTAAATTATTTGTTCCATACACTTTTTATTATGTGATCACTGAAATATTCCAGAGTATTTTATTTTTTTCACTAGGAATTTATCAACGATAAAAATATAATTCATAATTATTTTATTTCCTACAGCATTTTTGTATTGACGAAAAAAAATATACTGTATAATACTTTCATAAGCAACCAAATTTCAAACGGAATATCAAAGCTAATCATTGAGCCAAATTCTAATAAATCGAAAATCATTTCTCCTGTCCTTTTTGTTAAACACATTAAGGTGCACGAATTCAAACTCGTAATGCAATTAATCCTCTTGGTTGAATCGCAAATTGCTTAGTCAGATGACGTCACTGAATACTTGTATAGACGTTGAATTTCCAGTGGGCTCAGTTAAAGTTTGATGTTTGCTGTGATTAATTTACCGTTTCTTTATGAGAAATGTTCTCTCTCCATCCTCCATAATTTGAATATTTTAGCTTTCTTAAGTTCATTAACTGTGTTGAAAGAATTATCTTTAAGGTTCTAGAGTAATAGTTACACGCTTCCAGATATTTTGCGAAAACGTCAAAAATTTTTATCCGATCATCATATCCTTACACTAATTAAGATATGTATCAATTTTTTATTATATCTTTGGTACTTTTTTTCTTTGACGGTGGTGTGTTAAAAAAGCCTTCTCAATTTCTCGATGAATTGAATTTACAATAAGCAGAACTCTCTCGGTTTCAGTTGGTAATTAAAAAAGCTCATATTGACTTTAATAATGAAAACGGGAGTATCAGTAAGGTTAATATTAATAATTATGTAGTTTCACAAGTTCTTGGTCGAATGTAAAGAATATTAGTTTTTGTGATGGAATAATAACGATTTCCATCTCGTTAACTATTTGATTGTAAGGTTTAAATCTCTTATGTTATGTTTTGATCATTACCATTGGAACGATTCTTTTTTTTTCTCGCTTAACGCTTCTTTATACCTTTAAAAGGGATTTTTCTTATTTTCTTAATAAATAGTTCATATAAAGTATAATTCATAACAAATATTGACAGTCCATTCACAAAAATCTATTGGACATAGTGAATATAATATGTATCGAAACTTGTAATGTATTTTATTTAAATTCTTTAAGGAACAATTTCCGACCTGAACTAATTAATTTTCCGCAGTAACTGTGCCATTCGTAAATGCGAAAAGCATATTTGAAACGGTAGTAAAGTTTTGATTTTATTGAAATCTTAAACATTATTGTATCAATTTAAAAAAATTTCAATTAACTTTAATAAATTAATGAATTAAAAAAATTTTATATATAAAATTAATCTTTTTTATTAAACGTAAACTATTTACTGATTGATCAAAAATTTTATTACAACAAAAATAAATTTTAAAAAAAATACTTTGGATTTATTCGGCGACGCGTTTTCGAAATAACAATCTAATTAATTCTAAGTAATGTAACGTTATCGTCGTTTCGTTTGTAAGTAGCGTTAGCATTAGCGTGATCGGAAAATATTTGGAATCGTCCGTTTCTGCGTTAAAAAGAATGGTTGGGTGTGAGTAATTCCCGCGGTTAACTACTCCCTAAGGAAGATCAGCCAGAACCAATGGAC